TCATATTTTTTTTATCTATTTTTTATTCGTCTGATATTTTTTCTTTTGTATTCTTTCGAATACGAGGTTCAGGATTATTGTTTTTTTCTCCTCGTTGTTGCGTTTTTACGATTAGGTTCAAAAAAAAAGGCAAAAGATTTGGATTATCGCGAGGATGTTTAGGTGTACGTTGAAACTTTGAGGATCCATTTAACAATATTGCTTTTCAATCTTATTCAATTTGTTTCCGATTGGTCGACACGATAAGTTAAAGTCGTTTCTTCAAATGCATTAGAGAGAAAGAGAGAGAGAGAGAGAGAGAGAGAGAGAGAGAGAGAGAGAGAGAGAGAGAGGGAGAGGGAGAAAGAAAAATGGTATGATTTTAATTTTATTCCCCGATATAATTCATCCTTCGTGTCTAATGCACTCGCAAATAATGCATTTTCGTGCTGCAGACTTTGAGTGCCTTTTCTCCGTACCTACTCTTTCTCTTTCTCTCATTTTCCCTCTTCCTATTTCTCTTTTTACTTCCCTTTTTATAGATGTCACTGACGACATTAAAATTATGACTAAAAGCTGTGAAAACGTTGATAAGAATTTACACGAAACGTCGCTTCCTTTCTATCGAATCAAATTTCGTGTTATTTTACAAAGAATTTTTTATCCTTGATAACAATCGTCCTAATTAATACGAGAAATATACAAATACTGCATACTACTATTAGATATTAATACTACATTAGCGTACATGCTTAAGAATATTTCATTTCTCATAAACATATACGTAGCATTGAATAAATTGTATTTACTTTTTATTCTCAATTTTCACATCACGTTTTTGACACGTTTTTTACTTGAATATTTAATGGATATCTAAAGCTTCTCAAAGTAAACGCATATTTTTGATTAATAAGAATTAATTTTAAAGAACAAATAACAACTGTACAATATTTTTCGTATAAAAATTTAGAAAAAGAAGAAACAGAAAAAGGGAGACTAAGAAAATGAAGGAAGTAAGAAAACAAATTTGTTAAGACCGTGGATCTTTAAAAAGAAAAAACCAAATAATCTAAATGGTACAAGGACGATGGTGGGCTGCTTCGTTGTAAGCTGGTTTTATCTCTCTCTCTCGAAGAGAGTAAACAAAGCATCATTTGAGATGAAAATGTAAAACGTCGTATGTTGCAAGTGTACTTACTTATATCCATATATATACATATGTATATGTATGTGTATGTATTTATGTATATAGACATTGTACAAGGTAGTAGCAGGTAATATGTACGAATTCGTAATAGAGCACATACGCATACGTACATAAAGTATTAGATACATATGTATATATACATTTACAAGTGTGAGCGCATAATAATGCATGCTATGGTGATACTGGATTTATATAACTTATATGTATGAAATATAACGAATGCAGAATACGTGCCAGAAAAACGAACGCGCCCGAGGTCACTTAGGAACAAGACCGGGCTCATTTTTTATCTCCTGTTCTAGGGTTGCTTGCTAGGAAAGAAAAAGAAAGAAAAAAAAGAAATAGAACAAAAAAAAAGAGAGAGAGATAGCTATTATCATGAAAAGAATGTTAAAGAGAATCGTGACGACAAAAGCCGACAGTTTTCTACGCGTCACCGGTAGATATATTTCTTCTTCTATTTTTGTTATTTTGTTTTGTTAAACTAATTTTCGTTTGTTGTTATTATTTATATATAATTGGCTTATATGTGAATATGATTTTTCTATTGAAATTGCTTCGAATTGTTGTTAATATATGAATGAAAAAAAAAACTTCGAGTGCAAAGGGTTATAATATATCTTTCATTTTTATATTAATAACAAATAAACAATCCTATATCTTATTAGTTCAAGTATGTAGATGTATAAAAGATTAAAAGACTAACCACACAGGACAGTTGACTGCGTGATTTCTCTTCTATCGCACGAACAGTTCCGCAGCCCGTCCTTTGTGGTCGACCATCCTGTTCCTGACTACGCTAACGCCCTTCCCCACTCTTCTTCACTCACCCAGTTTCTCTTTGTTGACGATCAGTGGTTCGAAGGTTTCACAAGGTCCTAGTGGTAAGGCTGCATGTGTCCTCTGTCCCTATCGGTTTACGGATAGATCTCTTTCATCGTTTAACTTTGTGGTTTTATTTGTTGTGCTGTTGTTATTACAACCTGGACCACAGGATACGAATTCCTATCGAATACGAATACGAAAGACTAATGAAAACTGTTTTCATTTAGAAGATTAAATATTTTACATGATAATTATCATGAACGTATTTTTTTAATGATATAAAACATCATAATATGAGAATCAACGAGGAATAATGTTCGAGAAAATTAATTTTTCAAACTTTATTAGTTATTGAATATTTGTGAATTTGGTCTTGTCATATTAAATATTTTTGAGAGGATAGATAAGAAGAGGTGATTTTTATCTTTCAAATGGTGTTTTTTTCAAGTCTCTATGTTGTTTCGTTCCGGAGATATAAGTTTTTAGAAATTTCATTGAAAAAATGCAATGAACTGATGACGTGTACGAGTCGTAGTAAATAGTAGTACGTACCGTTTACGTCGAACAGCTGATCATAGTAACGTAAATTCCAAGAATCTATGTAGGTCAGTGGGTCAATATCCATTCAAAAATAATTACTAGATAAATAGTAAAATTTAAATGCATAATTTTTAAATTAGAATATCTCTGGAATTAATAATCGTAGAGACATGATTCAAAGCTTGTTGTAAATGACAAAGCTTCATCTATATTATTAATAACAATTCATAAATAAATTGTTATAAACAATTTGTTATAAACAATTTTTATAATCAATCTTTTTTAAATTTGACACTAATCATTTCTCATACGCTTACTTACCTATGTATAGTTAACAAATTGTTATAAACAATTGTTATAAACAATTAATATAATAAAAAAAATTTTTTCTCTGTATAATTTTAATATTAAATAATACACGTATATCTCTATGCATATATGCAGGTGTGATAATTTATTGAAAACAATTATTATAAACAATTTCCTATAAACCGAAACGATGTAATTAACATGCATATATATATATTAGTACATGCACATTTATTTAATAATTATCATAATTAAATCAATATATACATATTCATATTTGACAGTTTATAATATGTACTATTATAAACTACCCTTGGCAAAATAATTTTTTGTGCGACGTCGAAACTGTCTATTCCAGTGTGAATTCAAAGCAGAGAGCTTGTATAATGCAAAATAATATGAAGAAGAATATATGTATGTGTAAGATACAGTTAGTGTGAGCAGGATAGCGATAACTCTTTTTCGTTGCACCCTTCATAGGACGAATATTTTTCCTAGAAATTATGTAGGTCAGTATGTCGAACTCTTTTCACGAATAAATTTATGTCAACGTACGTGTCTCTATAAATCGATCTCCGTACGAAACAAAAGACATTTTTTATTATTTTTTTTATTTTTAAATTAAAAAAGAAAAAACCGGAATAGACTTTTACGATTTATATGTATAGGTTTACGTAACAAATTTTACTTCAACTAAAAATTTGAAATATTCGTTTCATGGATTGAAATTAAATGTAAATTTTTATTTGGTGTAAAAATCATCATAATTTTTTATTAAATTAAATGACGAATGTTATTAAAGATATCATTATTATCACGTTCTTGTATGATTAACGACATCTCATTATTTATATTTCGCATAACATTCATAAATTCACCCGAATACATATGCACACGCAAATTATGGCTATTAAACTGTTATAAATTTACGAAGTGATAACGAAGAAATAGGAAAGCTAGTTGATTCTTCATTCTCGTCATCTTGCAAGTAGTTGAAATTATCAGACATATCTCGATGTATGTTATAACACCCGTCGTGTTACATACTTTCTGACGTAGTACGTGTAAAGGTACGTCTACCAGAACTAGACACTATAACGTACTCGATCTTGCGTACGTGCCAGCAATGATAAGTTGGATGCTCGATAGAGTAGTGATAAATTTCTTCTACGATCCAGACTTGAATATCATTCGTTCTTACATTGAACAAAGAACAAAAAAAGAAGAATAAAAGAAAATTAGAAAGAAAGAAAGACAGAGAAAAGAAGATAGTGGTTGGAATAAAGTTGTATTTTAAGCGCAAAGTAAGCACAAAAATAAATGCTAAAGATACAAATTTTATTTTGAATATGAATGAAACCCAAAAAATCAATGAATAATTAAAAATTATTATATAAAAATTATTGAAATAACATACTTACAATAAAATGTTATTAATTTATTCTCAATACTTAACTATAATTATCGATTAAAAGAATTGATATGTTGTAAATATATTTTGTAGTAAATTTAAATACGTTTCGATGAATTCGAAAAGTGTTTCCTATACGATTTTTGAATGTTAGTTCCGTGTTTGATCCGATGTTATTTATTTGTCTCAGTTGGTAAGAAACTTTTGTATTCGTACAGTACGTGGACGATCATCAATGGTTGATTTTTGCAAAATGCGCACTAAGGTGGAATTCTGTTATATTGAGGTTCGAGAGAAAGAGACAAAGAAAGAAAGAAAGAAAGAAAGAGAAAGATATAGATAAGGGGGTTAAGAAGAAAATAGTTCGTGAAGCTTCTGAAATATTTCTAACGCAAAGGAAGACCACCGCCATCATACTGCGGTCTCTTATAAGCAGGAGCAGCCATTGTGCCCGTTGAGAATACGTAATGCTTTTGGCTTCCGCACACCTTCACATCCTCGAACTTCCACTTCCTCTTCTTCCACCTCCCATTCTACTCTCACTCTCTTTCTCTCTCTATCTAACGTTAGTTTATCTTTCTATCTCCCTCTCTCTTCCTTTTACAAATTATTGTCCGATCGTTCGGTACCCACCACTACGATGAGGTTCCATCCCCCATTCGATAAAGCGATACGAAAGTGAGACAAGGTACAAAAGGGAATTGAAAAAGAGAGAGAGAGAGAGAGAAGGAAGGTAAATTCAAAATTTGAAATTCGGTGCTCGCGTAAAACGGGGCAGCGTTCGTGAAGCATAGTAATAACGGGTTGATAGAAATTTAGAATATGAATGGAATCTTTGATCTAGGATGAAACTTGTTATCATTTAAATAATCGATACATATATAATACACGATGACATTGTTTCTTTTATACACGGATATCGTTCACTTCGTTTCAATTTCATTTGAAATGGATTACAATCAAACGAAATATTTAAAGTAAAAGAAAAAGATAAAGAAATACAAAAAAAAAAAAAAGAGAATTTTATTTCATTTTTATATAATTTGCATATAACGTTATTGACCGAAAAAATAATGTAAAAGGGTCATTAAAAGCATTGGTAATTTGCAGTAAAATGTAGAGTACATACATATATACGTGTGAATAATTTCAAACATGTAAATGAAATTGTAAATGCAATCGTTTTTAATGGGAAAATTTGTATGTAAAATAATATCGATAAGAGAGTATATTTCGCTCTCTTTTGATTTTTATTTTTTGTTGTATTCCTTTCAAATTTATTTGTCCTATAAATTCGTAACGTTCCTGTTTTATAAGCTTATTCTCGATTGCGATGCTACCTTATGATTTATTTCCTCTTTCTCTTGTTTAGTTCTTTTTCTTCTTCTTCTTTTTTTTTTTTTTGGTTACATATTCTTTTTTTTTCTACGGTCGTTTTCTACGGTCACCAGGCAAATCCACGTGAGATTCGGTGGGTAGCTGGCAGGCCTGTTACCAGCATACATTTGCATACGTTTTCGAAGGGTCGCACGGGCTCATTCGTCATTCTGTATCGCGACGATGTAGTTGTGGTTACGATTTACCCGGAACCGTCCTATACCATCAGCGTTATATTCTTTTCCTTTTCTATTCTTCTTTCTTTTTCTATTTCTCTTTCTATCTCTTTCTCTACGTCTCTTCGTCTCTCTTGCATTTAGTCTTTTCACCACGCGAGAAATAAACGAAATGGCGTGGAAACCGAAATCGAAGTGATTATTCGTCCGATACGAGAATCCCATTCTAACTTAGCTAATTTAAAAGTTCTTCCAATTTCAGAATTGTCGATACACTTTTTTCGTAAAAACAAATACGTTGTCGACCAACAAAAATAGGAAAAAAAAACAAAACAAAACGAAATACGAATAATAGTTATATGAGAAGAGTTATAATCCGAGAAGTTGAGTCAGAAAAATTCATGTAATACTTCTTGTTAAACGCGAAATGTTAATTTAAAAAGTCTTTTAAGATTTTTTACTCTTTTTTGTTTTTTTTTATTTAAAATCTCTCGGTAATTGGGCGAAAGAATTTAAGGTCAATTTTTTCAGATTTTAAATTATCGGATATATAAAGTAAGAAAAATTCGCGTATTCTTTTTACGCTTCTTTTTTCCTTTTTTTTTCTTTATTAAAGAATTATAAGTTAAAAAGCTTTCTAAGTTTTCCTTCTTGTTTACTTTGAAACCTTTATGAAAGTTGCGCGAAAGAATGCGAGAAACATTATTGGTTGTAAAATATCTGAAAAATAGAGTAAAACAAGTTCACATTCTTATTTATTTCTCTTTCTTTTTAAAAATTTTCGAAATACAAAATAAAGAAAGTTTAACCGCTTACCAAAGAAAAAATAAGTTTACGTATTTTGAGCTCGTATAATTCGATATACTCAAAAAATTAAGACTTTGATCTAATGTAAGAGAACGAGAAGCAAGTAATGTTAACTAACAATATTTATCTTTCTCTGAGAAAAACAAAGGTAATATAAAATAAAATAATCCCATGGAATGCAACGAGCCTTATTTAAACTTTTCGCAAGAAGTTTAACGAACAAATAAATAAATAGAAACTATTTAAAGAAATGTAAAGAGAGAAAAAAGGAAGCAAGGAGAAAAAAGAAAAAGAAAAAGAAGAAAAGTAAAGAAAAGAAAAGAAAAGAATAGAAAAAGAGAGAATGAAGAATGAAGAACAAGTTTGACAAGTTAAACAACTTTCAATAAGAATGACAATCCCTTCGTCGATCGGAAGGGGTACGGTACGGTCCACCTTCATTGAGTCCTTTGCAAATTTTTCTTCTTCTCTTCCACTTTTTTTCTTCTTTCTTCATCTTTTTTTTCCCCGAAAGAACTCGGTTGGGATCCTTATATTCTTGAAAAAGCGACAAAATGGAACACGCGCCGTCGAGACGGCATTGCGGGTACGGTAATACGGTAGAAGAAGAAACTCGAAGGAAAAGGATATAACCTTCATAGAGAGGAATGAAAAGGGCTTTCGAAGGGAAAAGGTAAAAAGAGGGGGGGAGGGGAAGGGGAGGGAAAGAAGCAGAGCCAGGGATAGAAGAAGAGAAAAACGTGGACGAGGTGGAGGAAGAGGAGGAGGAGGAGGTGAAGGAGGTGGCAAAAGAGAGGATAGAAAAGAGGGAGAGGGGTGGAGGGTGAATGCACGAAGGTGCTTACCCCGACGAGGAGAGTAGCTACTGCAAAAGTTACTCGCTGGAAAATATACAGCCTGTGCTTTCAGGAAGCTCGGATTATCGGAAAAGCGGCTTGGAAATACGAGTTAGCGCGAAGGCGTATCCTTCTACGGCCACGAACTTCTCTCTCTCGTTTTACTCTCTCTTTTTCTCTTTCTCTCTTTCTCATTTTCCTTTTACTCGTATCGATTGCACGGGAGCAAGAAACGAGAACGTTTCGTTCCTCGAATTAAGTCTTCGATTCGAGTGGCGTGGCCAGTTAAAAGGTTCCTATTATATTCTTGAAATCCTGCCTCGCTTATCGAAACGTTCCAAGAATACAATACCTGGAAAACTTGAGACTTTTATTATTGTGTTGGTTTTTTTTTTTTTTTTGTATTTTTCTTTAATCAATCCTTTTCCAAACGGACGCGAAAGTAAGATCCCAAAAGTTGAATAATCGTGCATTAATCAATGCCATTGTTGGAAATAATTAAAAAAGCAATTGCAATGGTCAATATTTTGTTATCGAATTTTATACGTAGGAATTTTTCTATTGGAAATAAATTTTATTTCCTAATAGAGAAATACGTATGTATTTCAAAAAGAAAAGAAAATAAATTACAATAATCTATCAATCAATTTAAAGTTTTTTTAATCCGACTATTACGATTACGTTTGCACGTTTGTATTGTATTTTTGTATGATATATTATTTGGTAAGAAATATCGTTTTAGGATTAAAAGAATTTTATTTCTCGTAGAAACGATCGTACCGTACGATAACTCGAATCGTTTTTTAATGTTGCAGGCGTACGTTGACCTTGTAAAGGCATGGGGTTGGAAAAGCTTTACCATCATATACGAGAACAACGAAGGACTGGTGCGATTGCAGGAGCTTTTAAAAGCTCACGGTCCGAGCGAATTCCCCATTACTGTTAGGCAACTCAGCGAGGGCTCGGAATATCGGTGAGTTTTACGCATTTCCCACTCTACCCGTACCATTATACCTGTTCTTTTCTTTTTTTATTTTCTTTTTACCTTCTGCATCCACTCACTTTCCTTTTTAGCAAAACTGAAAAGAATATGAAGAGGACGTATATACGTTACCCATCGTACGCATCAATCTGTTCTTCCCCATTTTTATGTTTTTTCTGTTTTTCTTTTCATACATTCAACTTTTTAACGGCAACCAAAAAAACTCTATATCAATTATATTTTAATATTTATTTTATTTGTTTTTTTTTAAATAGTTTACTTTAAAAAAAATGAAACTTACGCGTGGGAATGTTTTATCGATAGAAAATAACAAAATATGCGAGAGTTTTCAAATATTTGCGCGTTATTTGCGCGTTAACAAATTCGTCTCGAATAATATAAACAAATTACGAATGAAAATTTGTGTGAGTAAATATTTTTGTACATTTCGTTAAACATTGTAATATTTTACGAAATGCTTAATATAGAGATAATATAATAGGGGTGGGAGTGATATTTTTTCCAAGCATTATTATGCAAATTCGAAATCCTTGTGCATCGCGTGCATCCACCGTATGCCCGGAATGATTTTGAATTTTCCAATTTGAAAATGGATATTCTTGAAAGCGATCATTCAATTCGTCAGAGCTAACAATTCCTCTTTCATTAACTCCTTCCTTTCTTCATGCCTCCCCCCTTCTTCCCCTCACCACCTATTTTCAAATGAAATAGAGATCGCATTTCGTAGATTGAATATAGGTACATATTTGTATGAAACCAGAGATGCGAGTTCGAAATTTCGATTTTCAACGAACGCATTACTTATCGTTTTGCAAAAACGAGAAGTGGTAATTTACTAGTTTCTTTTTCTTTTTTTTCGTTCTTCTTTCTTCACCCGCTGGAGGCTAAATCGCTTTACGTTCGGATTTTTCTAGATTTCTATGCATAGCATTTTTTTTTATTTTTTTTTTGTTTTCAATATCACACTTTACGACAGGAAAAAAAGAAAAGAAAAGAAATAGTACTATAATCCGTGTCGTTTGAACGTTGGATACCAAAAATCGAAAGGTTTTCTTTGCAAATTTTTCAATGTTTTTGACTTATTTTATATATGTTAAAAAGAGACTGAAATAAAAATATACTTTTTCAAATAAAAAAAGGAAAAAAGGAAAAAGAAAATTCGACACTCTCTCCGCGACGATCCGAGCGTCAAGATTGAACATTTCTTTTGTATTCTAACCGTTTTTCTGTATTTCTAATTATAACCGTTTATTTTATTCTTCCTCTCTCGTGTTAACGATTTATTTCTGCCCTGTTCTTATGTTTTACGCTTAAGTTAGGCATCCCTTCAACCCCGTTTCTAAGTCAGAAGGGTCACATATTATTAGACCAGGTCTTATCGATTCGACAAATTTTTCGACGAATTTTATTATATCGAGAACGGGCTAATAGTTCTGAAAATATTTCTTAATATCAACTCCATACATTTTTTTTATTCAATACATCATACGTTACTTTTTTTAATTTTTAAAGAAGACAAATTTTTGAATCATATTTTATATATTGGAAACATTTTACCCAACCTGTATTCAAAATGTTTGTCGATAATTATACGAAAATTAATTCAATTAATTTGAATATTAGTAATAATAATAATAATAAATTAAATCAATTTTACGCGGATACTATAATCCTGTTGTTTAAAATTTATATTTATTTATTGATATTTGTTGATCATCAGTAGAATATTCAATTAATTCAATTGATAAACTCGAGAGACGGAAATAAATACGTTTTTACGAAAAACTCGTCGTTTTACATTTTTAACACTCGTTAAAAAAACTATTAACAAAATAAAAAATATAAATAAAAATAAAAAGAGAAGAAAAAACCGTAAAATTTTTAAAGGTTTATATATATATATATATTGCTGTCGGATGTAATTTCAAGACTGGCAGGAAGTTGAACGTCGATCAAATTAACGAGAGTGCACACATCTGATGGGAAATGCGATCGATGTTAGCTCGTATGCGGTACCAACGCACCATTTCAAATTAAACGTCTGGCTCGACGCCTTGTCCGCAGTGATCTTACGTGACCATCGGATCGGTAACACGTTTATTCGATCGGATTACACGTTGACCGAATTTATAGTCTTATATTCGATCAAATAACGTTGGACAAAAAAATTAATAATATTTAAAAAAAGAAATAAAATATAAAAATATAATAAAATACACCGCTGACGAATGAGAAATATATACGCGCTCATTTATGCACAATTAAATTAAATTAATTATAACATATTTAAATAATAATTGTATAAGAATTATTATTTTATCATTATTGTTTAACTGCATTTAATGATATTTATTTAATTTGTATATTTTAATTACAAGAATAAATAAAATAAAAAATAAAATGACACACTGGAGAGCAAACGAGCATACCTAATAAAAAAAAATTTAATAATATAGATATTAATCTAAACAATTATGTAAAATTACTCTCTCTCTCTCTCTCTCTATCTCTCTCTCCAGCATAGTATCGTTAATTATATTTATTAATATTTATTTAATTTTATTATTTTAATATTTTAGTATTCTCCAATTAAATAAGTGATAATAATTATTCATGTATTATAATTATTGATATGCTTTAATTTTTAATATAAAACATTTGATCGGGCATTTTAATTATCGTTCATTTTTTTCAAATACGATCGAACATTTATGATAACGTTTTTATGTAATGTTTTACATATAAGATCTGGGATCAACGACATGTTAAAATATGAATAGGAAATGTATCCTTCTTGCATTTTTATCTCATCTTTTATCAAATATATGTATATATGTATACAAATAGGTAGACATATATGTATACTCCAGTATTTGTATAAAGTATGTTCGTAAAAAGGTGAGGGTTTAGTGAAACGTTTAAAGAAATACATCCGTACATCCTTCTTTCCATTCTCGTCGGTTTCGCGCTATCTGCTCGTTGAGGAAAATTCTCTCTTACGTTACATTATTCATAAAGATTCAGGACAGTGACAGTGACTTATCGCGAATGCCCTTCAACTGGAAAGAGAGCAACTACAGGATTTGAATAATTCAGTCAAAGATTCGGTAGGACCCATTCGTGTGGTCCTTTTCGTATAATAATTCATGATTTTTCTCAAAAACACATCTAAACCTTCATAAAATCTCTCGAGTAGCTTGTATATTTCTTTTTTTTTCTTTTCAAAAATTATAAAATATTGCGTAAGGGTCAGTAGTATAAACGATCCTCAATTTTTTTAAATTTTAATATTTAAAAAGATGCATTTTTTTTTAATGTCATTTCAAAAATATAAATATGTACGCATTTCTGAATGAGAGTAAAATCTAACGTAAACATAAAATTACTTTTATCGTATTTCTTTTTTATCTGAAATCATTTAGGAAGAAAAAAATTTCTAACGATTTTTTTATAAATAAATCTATTTTCTGTGTCGTAAGAAAATTGTTTTTTTTTCTTATTTTATTTTTAAGTTTGAATGATTCAAATACATTTAAGGGATGTAAAAAATCCTATAAATGTTAACTTCATATTATGAATCCTTCCAAATGTGTTTTCATGTCTCACTCATAGAATTGAAAATCGGGGAGTTAATATGGAAACTGTAGAAATGATGTGGGATTGAAATAACAGTGATAGCTATGATATGATGTTAGTTGTGGATACGGAAACAAATCCATTCTTTATTTTCAACGAAAGGAAACAGAAGGAAGCCAACCTAGTTGGCTTCACATTTGGTTCGACAAAAAAAAAAGTTTTCACGTTCGTGAATTGTACGAACATAGTTCATGTGAGTTCACAGTATCATAAAAGATAGAAGCTGTTAGTATCGGTAACAATGCTTCCGATATTCTACATATATATATCATATTAATATTAATATGACGTCCAGCTACTTTTCATATTACATTTTTCCGCCTTAACACGTTAACTGCCGGCACTTTTTATGTGATTTTTCTACCAAGCCTACACTTTTCTTTTATTATGGCATGCAAATTTTATTGATGTAGATTGAAGGAAGAATTATATATTTATTTTAAATTGTCAACATACATATCTCTTGAAATCTTATTTACATAGGATTATTGATTAATATAAGAATAGAGAGAGAAAGAGAGACAGAGACAGAGAGTGAGAGAGAGAGAGAGAGAGAGAGAGAGAGAAAGAGAGAGAAAGAGAGAGAGAGAGTTGTCTTATGCGTTGCACGATTCAGGGTAATGTAACCCTTAGAAATATATATAACAGCTCTATTGATCAGTATCGAAAATTTCTCGAGACTACTGGTAGGAATAAAATACATATACAAAACAACACCCCAATTTATTATTCAATATAATTACAATAGAATCTAACGACATCAAATCGAGATTAAAAATTAAAAAAGTAATATTACAAAAAAATATCCAATAAAAAGGAATACAAAAAAAATATGCAATAGAAAGGTATTTTTTATTTATATATACGAAAGTGTGAAACGTATAAAAAGGAAAAACACGACAGAAAGAGATAAGAAAAGAAGGTAGAAAGACGTAGCATAGATTTCACAAGGGAACAATAGTGAATTGGTGAAGAAATGTGAGATAAAGAAGAAAGAAAGGGCAAGGATTGTGAAGAGATGAGGAGGGGAAAAGGAAGTGGCGCTAGGGGTTGGTGGTTCAAGGGATAGGACACACACATTTCTCTCTTTCTCTCTCTCTCTCCCTCTCTCTCTCTCTCTTTCTTTCAACACGAACGTCTCACATCAGAGAGAATCGTCTTTTCTTTTTGATACGCAAGTCATTCGATACGCTCGACGAATCGAGAAATCGCGTGTACGCGATTCTTTCTGTTGAGTTGACAGAAGATACGACGAAGGAAGGGTTCTTACTCTCTGTTAGGAGTTTTGATAAGAGTTAACGTTGTGTTTCGACGTCAAATTGATTCCC